GTCGTCTTGAAAGGCACCGTGTCGCTCAAGCCAGCCGGCGCATGTTTCAATGTTGCAACACTAATCGAAACACACTTGCGGTTTGTTGTGTAAAGTCAAATGAAGAGTGGCTTGGTTGCCCGAATCAGTAAATAAACTGTATTTGTCCTAAGTTTCGCCGTGATGTTCAGAGTGAAAGTCATCCACAATGGGGTTGGTGATAGCCCGTTCGACGTGACCGAAAACCGCCCGTTTTCCGCGTTTGACGCGGAGATTTGGAAGTGGGCCGGATGCAATACAGGAAGAGTTACTATTGTTATTCGCGAAGGTTTTTTTTTTAAATTTCTTAAGACGTTTCGATTACGGCTTTTTTTGTTTGGAGGTTTTACTCGTTGAGCGGTACGATATGTAAAACTACGGCCCCGCGTGCTTGTCTGGCAACAGCTGATTAATCGCAGCGTACAAACTTACAAGTATAATTCACATTGACGCTATCAAAATATTTATTACGTGTAACAATTGTTTTCCAAGGATCGACCGTTTTAGCAAATGCGTTCGACAAGACTTGGGAAAATTATTCGGACGTGAATACGACTTATTGATCAATAAATTAAAATTAATTTCGTGCAAAAGATTTTAAGTTGGTACTTTATTTGCGCAGGGCACTGGGTGAGTATGAAATTGTTCGCACGTTCACAACACAGACACCGCAGCTACCGCCGCTGCTGGTGCGAAGGCAGCCCACCGGGCGTGCCACTGGGTGTCCAGTCACGATGGTCTAAAAGTACATCAAGTACGTTTATGAAAGTACTTGAAAGAAAGTACAAAGTCAATCAGAGGTTATGTACTTCAAGTATCGTAAGTAGACCTGGAGCAATGTACTTGAAGTAAACTACTATAAATACAACATACTTTTTAAGTAAAGTACAAATACTTTTTTAAACAGTCTTTCACGATGGCCTTTCACAGTCTATTTTTTAACTTTATTTTATTTGGTGTGATCCCAGTCGTCTTTCGGAAATGGTGGCAAATATTGGATAAAATCAAGTCGCTACAGAGTAGTTATTTTACTCTCACTGACGAACTATTTAACACAATCTACTTATAAGGCACGTATTTCTATCGGTCTTACAGTTGCCATTACTTCTGTCAGAGAAATGACCAGATGACGTCTCAAAAGAGGACAGCGCGTTTTTACATGAGGATACGCCGTTTTTTTTGTAGTTTTTTTCCAGATCTGGGGATTGTACTTTAAAGTCGCGAATTTTACTTTCTACGGAAATTGCCAGAAAAAATACCTTAGCAAAGTACAAGTAGATGCTCAGAGAATGTACTTCAGGTAAGGTACACGTTTTATAATCTGACTTGAAATAGTACTTTAGGTACCATGTTCTTGAATTACTTCCCACTCCAGCTTGCATTTTTTTTTTTTTTTTTTTTGTAGAAACGTTAGGGGAGGTATTAAGCTCCTCGAACGATCCTTTAATCTTGAAAGACCTGTATATGCTGAGTTTTCGGAGGGATGGCAGCGCAAAGAGGTCACCTTTGCGTTCCCCTTTAGCACGCGATCCTTCAAGTACAGCCCAAACTACGGGAGCACCAGATGGGTTTCAGAGCAGATGGTGCATTTTGCTTCCGCCTTTGAGTGACACTGCAGTGTACACACATCCTGTATCTGGCGAGAATTCCTATGTTGGGGAGAACAGGGGACAATTTTTTTTTTTATTTAAGTGCGTCGAGTTTCATTGAGCTTCGGGACAGAAAGAAATGTGTTTTCAGCGCTAATCCCGCATTTATAGGGCCTCACTTGCGACGGTCTGTCGGCTCATCTTTGTGCAATAATGTTTTTTGATCAGCAAACCTACCTCTAAAATTGAAAAGTAATTTGTAATTTCAGTAGAGGTTACTCGGAAAAAGTAATTAAAGTAAACTACAAATTGCAGAAATAAAAATGTAATTGAGGGTTACTAAACTACTAAAATAGTTAAACTACAGTAACTTGAGTAGAGTAGTTAAACCATGTACAAATCTGGTTGGGAGTCGGGACATCCCGTCGCGCGTGCCTCAGTGGGGGGCAAGTTAACCCAACCGGTCCACCTATTCGCAGCGGCAGTCTGCAGCGGCTCATAACCGACTTGGCCCACCCGTACACGCCGCTTCGTGGCGACAGTTTGAGGAGAGTTGATACAAAGAAAGCGAATTTCAGCTGTCGATCTGTCGATCAAACGATCTGTCCGTTAAACAATTTGTCGATGAAACTTCGTTCAATGAACCGGTTGCTACTGCTGAGATGGACCCCCTCTCCAATCTAGGCTCTCTACTCGTGCGTCCCCATCACCACGATACCATCGGCAAGCTGGCAGCAACGCCACAACGGCGAAGGCCAGTTTATTCTTTGCGAATTCTGTTTGAAGGCCTCTTGATAGCCGGCCCTCTCCAGTCTTCCCCATTGTCTTTTTAAAGACTGCTCCATGTAATGGGTGCATGACCTTTGTAGAGCGTTCTGAGTCAGAGACTTCACTACCCCTGCCTTTACAATTTTAGAATGAAAACTCCGCTTTGATAGGACGGGTTTCGGCACCTGCTTCCCGGATTCCTTACACAGCCCACTGCCCACATAAATGCGTAAATCCAAAAATCGAATGACATTCTCCCCCAGATTTTCCACAGTGAAACGCAACTCCGGGGCCGCTGAACTTATTACATTTTGTGGGGAATTCGAAAGGTTATCTTGAAAAGTGCACACTATTATGTTGTCTACATATCTTCGAAAAAAGCCTAGATCTCGAGGCAACCCTCTCAGCTTCTCAGACAACAACTCTGTCTAGGGTGTTTAGATAAAACTCGGCCAAAAGCAGCGCGACCGACGAACCTATACAGACGCCCTCCTGCTGTACGTACACCCGCCGGGAATATGAAGGTGAACGCTGCGCCGTCGACCGCTCCGTGCTATCAGCGCGATGCCGCGGCTGCCGTGACGCCTCGCTTTCTTATCGCGATATGAAGGTGAACGCCGGACCGTCCACCGCTCCGTGCTATCAGCGCCATTACGTGGCGGCCACGGCAGCCGCGTCATGGCGCTGATAGCACGGAGCGGTCGACGGCCCGGCGTTCACCTTCATATCGCGCACGACTGTACATCCGTTCATTATACTGAATAATTGTTGACTGCAGGTATCGGTCCAGAGCTATGAGAAAACCATCTACCGACATCCCGACTCTGACTGAAATTTCACTAGATTTAGCTCTAACTGTTCCTTCACCGCCTTCATCAGTCTTTTTCTTTTCAAGAGTATAATATAGATCATTTATGCCCATTGAGAAAATTCCAGGAATGCAGTGCATGTCCAGCGAACTGGTCTGAGACAGAAATCGTACACAAAGAGCGGGAGGAGATGAGACGTGTTGTGCGAGCACTGTTCGTATAAAAACATGGGAAAATCGCATCAGCCAAGCGTCACAGCAACTTGGAAGTGAGTCAAAAACGTTTCTTCGACTGTAAAGACCTACTGTGGGGTGATCTTAGGAGGGGAGGGGTTTGCTTCGCAGAGTTGTTTGCTTTGTTGGGTTTGGGATCATAAGGGGGGGGGGGGGGGGGTGTATTGTTGGCGATTGTGTGTGATACATGGTTCAGTTCAGAGGAAGGGAAGGGGGTTAATCTTAAAAACGGTCATTGCGTGTTTTCCTCTGCTTCTGTTACACTGTCCGCATGGAAGTCCTTCCGGGTGCGGTGATGAGGACCTTGTGTTTCTGTTTGTATTGGACCCCGTGTACTGGGTGAAGGTGGAAACGATAGGGCACGCTTCTCTTTTGTTTTTTTATGTATTGTTTGCGGTTCAGTGTATTATGATTCTGGTGTATTGTTTGCAGTTCGGTGATCAACCGTTGTGGTGGTGGCGACGTTCGGGGGAGGTGTATATAAGGCGTAGAGGCAATAAAGTTTTCAGCTGAGTTTGAGACGTTGCCTGTCCCTTTTTCTTCCCACTTCACGAGTTTCCGGTTTCCAAACCAGCCTCAGGTTTCAATCATCATGTATAACTTACACCAGCTCGCCTGCACTTTAACCGTTCTTTCATTGACGTTTTACGCCTAGTCAAAGTCAAAGGAGATTAAACGCCATTTCGTGATTGTGTTTTACCAATCTCACTATGAAACCAGAAGGAAAACCTTCACCCCCAGATCGAAATTAGAATCTTGATTATTAATGCGAGAAGCGTTGTAAATGAACTGAAGAACTTGAGGCATGTTTTTTGAGTACCCAACCGTACGTAGTCATAATCCCTGAAACTTGGATATCACACGATATTCCTGATAGCGTGGTAGTCCAGCCAAACTGCTGATAATACGCAAAGACAGAGGCGGCGTGGTGGTGATTTTTATCAAGAAGTGCTATAAATTCACTGCAATGCCTAGCGATCTTGAAATTGATAGTGTATGGGGCAAGTTTATCTTTCAATATTATGCACGTTTTGTTGTCGCCCTGTATTGGCCACCAAGTGCGCCACCGAGGTACTTTGACACTTTGCACACACACACACACACACACACACACACACACACACACACACACACACACACACACACACATATATATATATATATGTGTGTGACATATCAACACTGAAGAATGAGCCATTTTGCCTGGGGACTTGAATGTTCCTGAAGCTTATTGGTACCGCCGCTACTTTGAGGAACCCTTTAAAGCCGAAACATTACTTGAATTCTGTTTTTGCTGTACGCTCGGTTAATCCCAACACATCGCCTTTTCTAGTTTCTGTAAGCGAACCTTTCGAATATCGCGATAGCAAGGTAGATGTTCTCGATGTCATTTCTGACCTAGCAAAGATCTGGCGTCTTTTTAAATACAGTAATCAACTAATAACTTAACTCAAAGATTTATAGTGGCAGATTATAACAAGGCAGATGACGTTATTATTCTCGATCACATTGATAGAGAGAATGATTATTTTTATAAGTTTCATTCGACGATCACTCTTCCGTAGACGGATGATGGAAAGTCTTTAAAGAGACAGTGAGTAGCTGTATAAGTACATCCTGACTAAAAAGAAAGGAACTAAGATGGCTACCCCTGCACGATTCGAGAGATCATTCAGTGTTACTGGGGTCAAAATTTACGTTCGGCACACGGGGAAGAAAACTCGGAACTTAAAGGGTTAAGAAGAAGCGTGATGACTTTATCGTGACCTGTCCACTTCCGAATGTTGCGACTTTTTGTTCTCTCTAGCACGTGACATACACGGCTCCCTCCAACGTTCTACTAAATTCTATTTTGATCTAGTAAGGTTGGCTGACACTAAAGTGACCAAGGTTCAAAACGTCGATCCTACAAAAAAAAAATGGGCAGGGGGAGGTAGGAGGCTTATAACCCGCTGATGGAAGCCTCTGAATTCGGGAATTTGTTTTCAAACCGCTGTAAGCAGTAGCTCACAAACTTCCAGCAATTACCGAGAAACGCAGCGCGTCAGGCAGAGGGAAAGGTATGGCGAATGCGCCAATACGTACCCGCAGCACCTCTGTGCTTGGAAAAGAGTATATTGTAGCCCTCCTCTTTGGAACCGACTTGAAATATACCATAGTCCACAGTGGTGTTCTTCTGTTCAGTTGTGGAGTTCATTTGGATCCTGAGAGCTTGTTGTTTATGTGGGTGGGTCGTGAGTGTATGAATATGCTTGTTTCCTTTAATAGAAGGTAGAAAGTACGTTTACGAATAAAGCAGGAACGCCTCTTTCAAAGAAAAATCTAACTTATCAACGACTGTCGTAGTAAACTATTTTAGGGCTGAGGCAGGGCTGAAGTATACTCCTAGCAAAAGCTGGATGAATAAGCGTCACGTTTTAATACTAAAATCGTTCGATCGTCAAAAAATACTCCTTGAATTCCTTAACCTGGCGTTGAATAGAGTTCGTTTCATAATAAAGGCAAGCTAAACAGAGTTAGAGGTAAATTCTAGCGTATTTTTGTCCCGTAAATTTTGAACATCACAAGCGGTTGGCCCAAATGTGCCAATGGACGCAAAAAAAAAAAAAGAAATCATAAAAACCAGCCGCTGAGTGTGACGTCATACCCAGAGGTTTCAACTGCCTCGCGCGTGCCTCTTGTGAGAAAACGCGTTGCGAGGTTTTCACTGCTCGGTTAAGGCTTGCGGAAAGCGAGGAAAGGTTCAGATCTCTGCATAATACGTCATGATATTAAAAGCAAGTGCTGTTGTAGCTGCTTGGCGCATTAATCTGAAATATAATTATGATATTAGTAATATTTGAGGCCAAACAAAGACGATTGAAGTGTTTGTTTTTTTCTCTCAAATACAGAGCCTCTTCAGCTTCCCTTTAAGTCAGAATGCAACCGAAGCAGCGAGTTGAGGGGACCAACCAGACGGCGTCAAAGGGGCACCATCATGGTGTTCGGCATGTTTCTCTACTTGTTCTATCATCGCTGAATTAATCGTAAACAGAAAAAGGAAAATCATGAGCCATTCCACTCTGTGAAGGTAGATGACCATCGAAGCTGTTTAGCACACGACACGGACGTGACAGAATTTTTAACGGAGGTACGAACACATTTATGCAAGATCTTCATCGGTGGTGTTTGCCGCCCGCCGCCGCCGCTGACATTCTCGTTGCCGCTCCCGCCGTTTCTCTTCGTAGGCGCTTTCCTCTTCGGGGGCCCGGACTATGCGCGGCCTCCCCATTACGACGGGAAAAGGGAAATTGGAAATGGAGAACGGCAACTTGTTTTCTGTATTTTTTATCTACATTCGCGTAAACGACTATTCCCGCCCCGAGGAGCCGGAAAAAACAGGACACGAGCGACGGGTCCGCCAGGGGTTTCCCCAGGAATTGAAATTAGGAAGAGGGGGGGGGGGTCAATTTTTTTTTGTGGGGAGGTGGGGTTTTGGGTTTTGGAGGGGGGGCATTTAGTACTGAGGAGTCGTTGCGAATGAAGGGGAGGCCTTGAGAATAGCAAGGGGGCTGTACACCCCCCCTCCCTCCCCCCCCCCCCCCGCCCCTTGTAGGGAGTCTGTAGGGAAATCACTGGAGACCGCCATTCGGGATGAGCGGCTTGAAACGAGGGACGCAATCGCATGAAACGACGACAAAGAGAGCGCGCTCCGGGTTTTTGTTGACGCATGTGAAAAATCCACGTAACCTTAGACATAAACAACTCCGCTGTAAAAAAGCTAGTGACTTGCTCTTTGACGCCGCTCGATTGGTCCCATTAGCTCGTATCGCACGCTAGTTTTGGACATAAGCTGAAACGAAGTATAGAAGCAGAGATTGAATCAAGATCAAGATAAGGCATTGAACGCAATACATTTTTACCACACGAAGAGCTATTCATATTTTTCATCGTAATACGATATATTTATATGCTCCCATAGCAAATGCCGACTCATGATAGTTTCATGATTGTTTGTATTCATGAGCAGAATCATATGCTCGCGAAGTAAATCTAATAGTGGGAGCTTGTTTTCAATCATAAACTATATGTATGCATATGAAGGCTACATCACCAGTCAATGCTGTCAGCTTACCGTAGTTTTACTAACTGGTTTTGTGCTAGGCCCAGACCTTATTTGTTATGCAAGAATACTTTTTAGTTTAACGCAAGCATACGTTTATTGGTTCGGCAGTGATTCTAGAGGGGCATCCACATGGGGCCGAGCTTTTGCGCGGCCAACACAAACGCTCCTCTCCTTGGAGGGGATCTCTTCGCAAGTGGCGATATATCCACGTGCGCCGCTGAGCGGGCGCGTACGTGGCCGAATGGTTACCGTGCTTGGCTGTCGCGCGGAAGACCTGGGTTCGAGTACAGGCAGCGGAATGTTTTTTTTTTTTTTATTTATTATTTCTCCTTGGCGTTCTCGCGAATTTAAGAACTTTCTTGTCTGATCGATCTACGGATGTTCTACGCGCCGAATGTTTTAGGCCGAATGTTCCAGAGACCAACGCGGCTACAAAAATTGCTTCGCGTGGCAAGCCTCAGTAAGTCTCGCCCCAGCGTTGGACCCTGCTGCCACGCCGCCATCGACACCCGCAGCGCTCAATTCTTATTATCTTCTGGTTCCTTTTTATTTTGGGCACAAGTTCGCCCCATTAAACGTTTAGTTTGTTTCAGTTTTCGTCACCTCATCAATATTGGTAACATATTGGTGGAGGCGCGGGGTAATGCATTCTATGCTAGTGAAACTTACTCCTCAGAAGATCTGTCGGGCGCGATTTTTTGGAAGTCCCGGAGGGCTGATTCCTGTTGACAAGCCCGAACCCCGAGCCAGCCGCCACACCTAGGGTCAGCCCCCTGAGTTTGAAACTTTACCCGACAAGTCGAAGACCCAGACGACGACGATGTCCCAGCAGAATCCGGTCGCCCTTGCCATCGTCTACCTGTCCGTCGCTCTTCGTACGCCGACACGCATCCACGGCGAAATTCACGAAGTCGTCGAGGACTGGATTCAACATTACGAGCGGTGGCACGCCACAACAGATAGACTGCGCAGCAGTGCCTGCAGAACCTCAACATTTCGCTGGAGGGTACTGCGATGCACTGGTGTGAGAAACACGAAGCTTCGTTTACGTCGTGGCACACCTGTGCGGCCGAGCTGCAGCGGACTTTCGCGACCCCACGCCGACGGGAAAAGGCAGAGGTCTGCTCCGAACTCTAACCCAAGGCCCATGGTAGCTTCGTAGTAAGATGTCCTGCACTTGAGCGCCCGTGCCGATCCACAAGCCACAAACGACAAGACGCTGCGGGTCCTCATGCGCGGAGTGAGGGACGAACTTTTTGGACGCCTCGTGCGCAACCCGCCTGTCAACCGTCGAAGCCTTCGTCACCGAGGCAACTAACATCAAGCGCGTACCCCAGGCGCGCGCTTCCCACTACCAGCGACATCCAAGCGTCGCTGCATAAACGCTGGTTAGCGGCGCAAACTCTCCTGGTACGCCGGACATCCGCGAAATTATCCGAGAGGTCGTCCGGGAGGAACTGCGAAGGTTGCTACCAACCGCAAGTTGTCCGTCAACCCTCTCAATTGTCAAAGTTGTCCACGAAGAAGTGCATCGGGCGCTCCAACCAGAGGTTCCCGTCACCATGGTGGCGCCAGAGGAGCCGAAGGCGAGCTACGCCACCGTTGCCGGAGGACCGCCGGAAGCTCCCCGCCAATCCCCGGCACCTCCCCGAAGAGACGCCCCCATGTCGCGTTATCCTCAGCGTCAGGAAGAACAAGCCCAGTACCTCCACCTGGAACGACCCTCGCCGAGAAAGACCGACATTTGGCGAACGGCCGACCGACGCCCACTCTGCCACCACTGCGGGAGAGAGAGAGAATGAACTTTATTTGTACTCAGGAAACCCTGGTCCAGGTCTCCTAGGGCCGACCACAACTAGCGTTGATGCCCCTACCGTCGACTTGGGCTGCGTGGTTTCCACCCGAACGATTCACGCCTGAGGTACGGCGAACGCCCTCGCGACATCGAGGAGTACCTCCGACGCTCGCCCTCCCCAGTGTCGTCTCTCCGCCGTGAAGCCCGCTCCCCATCGCCACGACGTTCAGCGTCCCCAGTGCCACGACTCCGCCAAGAAAGCGTGTCTCCCCTGCGTCGCCGGGAAAACTAAGTGCGGCAACGCCTGGAGGTGGCGTTGCCGAAGACGACCAAAGTAAAGAGCCTCCAAGGACGCCGGAGCGCACCCACTTTTCCGACGCCACTCATTGCCACGACGCTCCTGCAAAGGCGCCCAACAACTGAAAAGTTGTTATCGACGGCCACGACGCATCTGCCCTCGTGGACACCGGAGCAGACTACTCAATCTTGGGTGGGAGGCTCTCTCGCCGCGTGCGAAAAGTTACAACGACCTGAGAGGTCCATAAATTCGAACCGCTGGAGCATACCTTATTCCGGCCGTCGGAAGGTGCACTGCGCGAGCCGAGAATCACGGCGAGATGTGCACTTTGAAATTCGTCGTTCTACAAGACTGTGCCAGAGACGTTATTCTCGGCATAAACTTTCTGTGTGAGTACGGCGCCGTTATCGACCTTGGTGAGAACCAGATTGACGCTACGGACGCCTGTTCCGATTTCAAAGAAACCCGAAACAGCGCCAGCCGCCGTCCGCGTCGCTGCCGACGACGTGAACCTGCCGCCTCGATCAAAAGTTGTCATACCCGTCGTGACCGATGCAGCTACCTGTGCGCGAAGTGGTTCTGGAAGCAACCTTCAATTGCCCCTGGGAAGAGGAATAGGCGTCGCAAGAGGAGTGGCGGAACTTCAGGATGGGTGCACCGTGGCCCTTGAGCCGAACTTCCAACAAGAAATGCAACGCCTGACGAAAAGTGTCGCTGTGGGCCACATCAAGGAACTTCGGAACTCGGCCGAAATCCCCGCGATTGCTGAAGAATCATCACCACCTCTGCAAAACATTACGCCGCCAGCGCAGTGCGACATTTACCCCTAGCTTCCACGCCCAAAAGGACTGCAGCTGAGTGACCTCCATGCCGACTACAACAACTGCTTCGTGACGTCGTCGAAGTTGCGCCAAACCGCCGCTGCGCAGCATCGCATCGTTACTGAGGACGACGCGCTCTCTGTGCACCGGTCGCCGTACAGAGTCTCCGTAAAGGAAAGGAAGGCCATCCAAGAGCAAGTGCAAAAAATGCTGAACGACGACGTAATCCAGCCTTCAAGC